CTATGGGGTCCCCCATAGGGTCCCCCCCCCCCCACCACAATGGGTGCTGTCCCCCAACCGCATACCACCATAGGGTGCCAGCCACCCCCTCCCACCCCACAGGGTGCTACCCCTGCCCTATAGGGTGCCAACCCCCACCCCATAGGGTGTCAGGCCACCCATGCCATGCATATAGGGTGTGACTCCCCCACCCACCACCCCATAGGGTGCCACCAGCCCCTCCCCACACCCCCATAGGGTGCTGCCCCCCCACACCCCATTCCCCATAGGGTGACAGCCCCCCTGGGTCCCCATGGGTGCCCCCTCATGGTCTCCTGGGTCCCACCATGATCAACTGGTGGGACCTCAATTGTCAACTGGGTGCCCCTATGGTCATCAGGGTACCCATCCGTGCCCTTCCTGGCCATGATGGTCCTGGTGGGTCCACCCATGGTCGTCTGGATCCCCATAGGTGCCCCTCCAAGGTCTCCTGGTGTGTCCCCCCATGGTCAGCTGGGTCACCTTCCTGGACACATGGGTCCTCTGTCAGTGGGGGGGGATGTCCATGAGGAAGTTCTCTTCTGGATGCTTGGGTCCCCATAAGTGCTTCCCCATGATCTCCTGGTGGGAACCCATGGTCTCCTGGTGGATGCCCATAGTCCTTAGGGGAAGTTCTCCTCCTGGACACCTGGGTCCTCTTGATGGGTGGGGTGGGATGTCATGTAGGGTGGCATGTCCATGGCATGGGGCGGGGAGTTCTGTTCCCAGGTGCCTGGTCCCTCACGTCTTCTCTCTCTCCCCACAGGAGTGGGTGTCCAACACCACATTCCCCCACCTCAGTCTGCTGATTCCCCTGTGGTCCAGGAGAATGGAAGAAGTTGGTGAAAGGTGTTCCCTGCTGCTCGCACTGTGAGCTTTGTGGCAGCTACTGCTACTGTGCCAACCCCCTCACCTGCCTGCCCTGTCCCTCCCACCTCCACCCCACCCCCAGTCATACCCCCTGCTGCCCCACTCCTGTCCTCTGCCTCTGCTGGGGGGACACCTGGGTCACCGTCCCTTTGATGTTTGTCACCTTTGGTTTGATGACTACCACTTTTGTCTTGGTCACCTTCATTAAGCATCACAAGATGCCCATTGTTAAGGCATCAGGGCAGGAGTTGTGTTACGTCCTATCGGCCGGCATCGCTTTGGTCTACACCATCACCTTCATCATGGTGGCCAAGCCTGGGGATGGCATCTGTGCCCTATGGAGACTTCCTGGGCTTGGGGATGAGCCTCACCTACGCCGTGCTCCTTACCAAACCCAACAAGAGCTACAGGATCTTCGAGCGGGGTGAGTCACAGAGGGACCCAGAAGTTCTGGAGGACCCAGATCAGGAGGGGGACAGGAATTCAGGGAGGGACTCAGGAGTTCAGGTTGAGGGACATAGAATGGGGTTCCACCTACCCCATGCTCCTTACCAAGACCAAGCACATCTAATCTGTCTTCAAAGAAGGTGAGTTATGGGGGAAACCAAGAGTTCTGGAGGACCTAGGAGATTAGGAAGGACCCAGGAATTCAGGTTGGGGGTGAGAATTTTGGGTTGAGGGTCAGGAGGGACTTAGAATAGAGTTCCATCTACAATTTGTGCATCACCAAGACCAACTGTGTAAGGTGAGTTGTGGGGGGAAGCAAGAGTTCTGGAGGACCTGAGTGTCCATGAGAGACCCAGGAGTCTAGGGAGAGATCCATTAGTTCAGATTGAGGGTCATGAGTGACTTGCAATGGAATTCCACCTACCCCATGCTCCTCACCAAGACCAATGCATCTACTATGTCTTTAAGCAAGGTGAGTTATTGGGAGGAACCGAGTTCTGGAAGACCCAGGAGTCTGGGAAGGGGACAGGAGTCCAGGGAGGGACCCATGAGATCAGGTTGAGGGATGTAGGATGGAACCTAGCTTATGCTCCTCACCAAAACCAATTACATCTACTATGTCTTCAAGCATGGTGAGTTATGGGGGCGGACCAAGAATTCTGGAGGACCCAGGTGTCTAGGACTCAAGGAAAAGAAAGGGATGGAGGCATGTGGGCTGGTTCCTCTACCTCTAGGGAGGAATCCAGGTGTCTGGGGGTGGACCCATGTGTCCAAGAAGGAACCCAGACATCCAGGCACCCCATAACTCCTTTCTTCTTTGTCCTGCCCCACACCCAGGCAGCTGGTTGGTGAGCCCTCCCCATTTCATCATCCTGACCTCCCAACTTGTCATCATCTTCAACTTGAGTGGCCTCTAACTGGTGGCCGCTGCCATTTGACTCCTCCTTTGCACCCCTCATGCCCTCATTGACTACGAGATGGGTCAAACCCCCAACCCTGAAGACGCCTGAGGTGTCCTCAGGTGTGACATGGCCAAAGGTGACACCTTGGCCTGCTTGGCCTACACTTTTCTCCTCATGTTGACCTGCACCATCTATGCTGTCAAAGCCCAGGGCATCCCCAAGGCCTGCAGCAAGGTCAAACCTGTTGTCTTCACCACGTACGCCACCTGTGTCATCTGGATGGCCTTTGGCTCTCTCTTCTTCAGCACCACCCAGTCAGCTGAGAAGGTGAGGACATCTTGAGAGGGAACCCAGGAGGTGGATGAAGTGGGATTTTGGGAGGATACAGGAGGTTGGGGAGACTCAGAAACTTGGAGCTGGGTGTCTATGGGGCAAACCAAGAGGTTTGGGGCGGGGCAGGAGATCTGGGAGGTGAGATTCTGGGGAGACCCCAGACTTTGGGGGGACCCAGGAGGTTGGAGAAGGGAGGGAGATGGGTCACTATGGGGAAACCTGAGTTTGGGGGGAACTCAGGACTTCTGGGGGACACAGGAGATTGGGGAGGTGGGATTTTGGGGGGATACAGGAGATTAGAGAGACCCAGGAGGTTGGGGATGTGTGTCTATGGGGAACCCAGGGATTTGGGGGGACCCAGGCATTCGGGCAGGTGGGATTTGGGGGGACCAAGGAGGTTGGGGAGACCTGAGGTTGGTGATGGGTGTCTATGAGGGGCCCAAGAGTTTGGGGGGGACTCAGGACTTTGGGGAGGTGGGATTTGGGGGAGAAAGAAGATTTTGGGGAGACCCAGGAAGTTGGGGATAGGAGGGAACTGGGTGTCATAGGGGTATGTAGGAGGTTTGGGAGGACCCAGGAGGTTGGAGATAGGTGTCTACAGGGGGGACTCAGGACTTTGGGGGGGCCTAGGAGATCAGGAGGTGGGATTTTGGGGGGACCCAGGAGTTCGAGAAGGGAGGGGGATGGGTGACTATGGGGGAACCCCAG